TATTGGCCCTGTTTCAGAGCCATAGAGAAAGACGGAGCGAACTGCTGAGCAGTACACACGTCCCTTGGTTGATAGCCGGATGTCACGCCTACGCCAGAGATGGTGTAAGTCAGCGAAAGCAGCTCGAGCTTTTCGGATCCGTGCTGAGATTTCGTCTCCAATCAGTCCATTGGTGCTAATACAACTTCCCAAATAGGTGAAGTGGTCAGCATGTTCTATCACTTCACTCCCTATCACTAAGCTAGAAGTTGACGTAGTCCAGTCCTGTAGCAGCATCTTACATTTTGCAGGGGCGAATCGCATGCCAAACATACGAAGATTGGTGCTCAAGGTGTTCAGAAGACTCTGCATTTTGTCAGCATCCTCCCCTAGCAAGACTATTTCATCTGCATTTTCTAAGTCCATAAGACTATTCCCTGGTAACAAGCCGATTCCTAAGTCGTTAAGTTCAGTTAAGGATACTTCCATCAGCATATCTATGATGAAGTTAAACAGAAATGGGGAAGGTGGACATCCCTGCCGGACGCCACTGGTTGTTACCAATTCAGATGACAATTCCCCATAAGCCCTTACACGGCTATATGAGTTTGAACAGAGTACCTTGATTAGTGCAATGTACTTTCTTGGCACTCCCTTCACAGTCAAACATTGACATAGTACCTTTCGATCTACGGAGTCGAAGGCCGCCTTCAAGTCAAGAAATATGGCAATTGTTGGACGCCGAAAAGTGTGTCTATGTTCTAGGATCTGTTGGAGAGTGAAGATATGATCTATGCACCTTCTACCTGGTCTAATGCCCACTTGATTTTCCTTCGTTTGTTCCTCCCGAGTTCTGCTTAGTCTGTGCATGATTACTGAGCCTAGGATTTTAGAAACTATGTTCGTTAGGCTGATCTTCCTTTGATTATCACACGAGGACTTGTTTCCCTTCTTAAATATCGGTATAATAAGTGACTTACCCCAGTCTGATGGAACAGCCTCTGATTCCGAAACGTTGCTTAGTACCTCAGTTAATCTACATACTAGTACGTCACCCCCATATTTAAACACCGGAATAATTCCGTCGAGTCCTGCCGCTTTGCCTCGTTTCAAATTACAGATAGCTTTTGTGACCTCACTTACAGACGGCGAGCCAGTGTCTATATCCCATTTGGGTGTGTGCTGGATGGCGGGGAGGTTCAGTGTGGCTGTAGGCAAGTTAAATTGCTAAGTACGATTCGCTAAGATCAATATAATTACAGTTCACTAAAGATGCATAAATTATAGTAAGTACAAAAAAATATCAAATCAAACAGAGTATCAAATGAAATTACGGAAATTTTCACAACAAATTGAGGATGATTAGGACCTTGATGGTCAATTTAAGGAAAGTGTCTGAACCAACTTCTTCTTTTCGATACATAAGTTAGATTTCTTAATTTGGATCCCAACAGTCAGCCTCAGTAATATGTAACAGACGAACTCGTAAGGTAAAGATAAGATTAGTTGGTATATGGTTGATGACTTCGAAAGCCTCGTTAACACTAATCTTGTGATCTGCATCCACGAGATGAGACAGAATAGAACTATGGATGGACTTTGTTTCTCCCCTGCTTAACCATGCTGGATGATGTTCGGAAATCCGACAATAAACACGCCTAACTGTATGGCCCTCGTTCTGTGTAAAAATTATTCTTTTTCCAATAACTTGTCAGTACGAAAGCGATAATACGATGAGATACACTGAAGTGGTCCTGAGAAAGAACGATCTTCAGCCACGTCAGCAGTCCCTAATCGACTCCAAATCAACGCACTCCTAAAACTCATACAGTTCACTGGCTGAAAATAAGTCAAGGGAAGACGATAGCCTAGGTGTAAGGCTACTGAAACATCAAAGCTGAAACTTGAAGCCTTATATTCCACCCGTAGAATAAAAGTAAAGTAGGTGACTGCCACCAAAATTTATACAGAGTAAATGATGGAAATTAGATAATTACTGGTCGCTATGTTTATTCATATGAAAAATGAGATACTTTGTTGATTTCACCCATACTTTACACATTAAATCCGTATTATCTATTATCTGCGTATTTATAATTAACATACTCTTATTATCTAAACTTAACAACTAATGAAATTCAGCAACTATAACGGAAGACATTTATGTCATTAGTAAGGTCTCATTTACGTTCAGTTCAGTTACGCATAGATAACAACCTACTTATTAGGAGTACATACCAGCAGTACAACAGTTAATGCCCACAGTTCGACTTCAGATTCATGTCTTACAAAGTTGAATATTAAAATAACATACTAAAAGGGAATTCTTCATGTAAAATAACTGCTGTCTATTTTGTACCGATATCGTGCTCATAATACTTTCTAGCATCGCCCACTCTCTAACCTTCCCTTTAAGTAGTAACCAAAAATTTCCCTACACAATTAAACAACAGGATGTTAACTAGGCTGAATTGTAGAAACTACTTCCTTCTCATGATATATTCTGACTATGTTAGCTATACTATGCAACAAAAAGGTGTTAGGTGACTTTAAATAAATTGCAAACCTGAAAAAGCACTTTTATTAGGACGCAAAAGTGAAAATGTACTAATTTGGAAAAACTGAAACAAAAATGAACAAGTTTATAGAGAATGATAGAATGTCGAGTAACTTAAAAGTGAAAAAATAAGTAAATAAATCCATGTTAATCTACTGTCTTGGAGAGGTGTCACTGAATTCATGTATGGTGTTTTCTCATATCACCAGTCAAGTAGTTTGCACTAGTAGTGGACCTTAACTTTCGTGACTTACCCCGGCCCAATGAAAACCTTTGTTCAGCACAATTACAGCATTAAATTTCACACTAAAAACAACCAAATTTTGAACAGTGCCATACTGACGTCTAACCTCAGGTGGTGTTATTTTATTCCAAAACCACGACCATAGTCAAAACACCACAGTGATCTTTTTCAAATGAGCGAAACAAGGACCAACTTGAGTTATTACACAGAAATTACAGAAGATTGTGACATAGTACTTCCCCGGCAGTGCCGTGAATGGGGCCAATTTTTACCACAGAAATAATAAACAGTGATAAATAGATGATAACATACATTATAATGACGACGGTCTAAAACGTATGGTTAACTAGCACAGCCATTAATAAAGCATACCTATGAATAAGATTTGGGCATTCTGATAGAGTCTAATTAAAATACAACTATTCTGTGATGGATAACAATAAGTCTTTCTCAGAAAACCACTATATCATGTAAACCATGCGTACAGAAAACGAGCAGAAGGATTACATGCATACCTCCTTAGCGCAACTTTACATGGTTTTAAGTGAAGTCTAGTACGTGAAGTCAAATTTTCGAGGAAATTAAAGGAAATCATAAGAAATATCCTATTCCCCACCAATATTATCTAGAAAAATGAGTAGTTTTTTCGTTATTGCCCAGGAATCTTGAGCTACAGATCAAAAGCATAACTTAGGCTATTAGATAACTACTTTAAAGTCTATTCGTGAAACTCAGATATCAGATATAAAATAATGGTTACAATACTCCCTTGAGGTAAAAAATACAACTTTGTTTCAAATGATAAGGATGATTTCATTGTAAACATAATTTTCTATTGGGAAGAAGTAAGAGTTTTAGGTTATAAGTAGAATTTTTTACTTCGAATTTAAGATACTACTTTCTCAGTCTGGATACTGAAAAATCAACCCAGAGTATACTCTTCAGTGCATTAAAACAATGAGGCAAAGTAAAGAGACCCATGAAAGTTACTATTAAGTCATCCGCAACTAACCTGTAACTAAATCTAACAGACGGTTACATAAATGACAATTTTAATTACTATGGTTACACATGACAATTCAAATACTAAGATTCGTCAGAATGAGGCATAAATAAACGGTGATATAATAGTAACTTGATGTTGTTTAACCGAATAGAACATTTTAGCTGCATATATTTCACTTGCATCAGGAGGTTAGTCAACATGTCAGAGTTCAATCAACACTATAGGGTACCTTCACAGCACTGAAATACGACGATAACTAAAATAAGTGGACTTGTGTTTGAAGGAGGCAATATTAATCAGATTACCTCCGAATGCTCAAAGTTGTTTTCGGCCGATATGTATCTTAGCAGGGTTACTGAGCATTTTGCATTTTCGTCATTCTGATTTCTCCGACAGGCAGCTGTAGCTGCTAAATCGACAGAATATAACCTGATAATTTCTCAGTTTTATTCTGAATAACGCTTCTAATCTAATAAATATACAAAAATCCTAAGAAATTTTCCATGTCCTTCTAAGTCCTCTAGTCTTTATCAGCCCTTACACGCTGGTTGATGTATTAAGTAGGCCAATACTCATAAACAGCCAGAGTCGAAGACGACTATAGATGCATAGTTTACAAATTAAATGTTTACATCCAATAACCGTCAACAACAAGCAAGTATTTTTAAAAGACGTCATTGAAACTTCTAAAACGCCTATGGCGTAAAACATTTATTAGGCATAAGCCATCAAAATGAAAGGCGACACTGATTAGTAGGCTACAACAATGAGTAAGTATTAAGTTTTGTTTACAGTTTAAGACATCTCCAGTATACTTATAGGCCTATAAGTTTCCATATATTCTAACAATGGCAGAATACATAATGCAGAAAGCGAAAGGATAAAACCCACTTACAAAGTCCAAAATATTAACATATAACATAAAAAGATGGTAGAAAATATATGAAGTTATATTACTTAGGTGTTACTTTTCTGGGCTGCTCATGTTTCCTACACGGCGTAGACTTATCCTGTGAAGTCAGTTAACTGATTTCGCAGCTACAAAAGTTTGATGCCATAATTTGTCGTTAAATAAGAAAGGCATGTGATTCAGTAGTCAACAAAAAGCCAGGAACATAATTATGATGAGTGAGAATATCATGCAATACTCCTTTTAAAAGCAGCAACAAAGACGATTGTACTTTTAAAATAATATAGATGATGTAAAAACCTACCACAAGTGTCATTGGACCTGCGAACTTATAAATTGCATTTGTAAGGTGAATAAGGTAGAAGAACAGAGAAACCAGCATGGTTAATATCGCTACAAAAAATAACCACCCTCCAGGTCCAGGAATAGTATATACAGAAGACACGGCAACCAAAATGATGAGTATAAGGTCAATAATCATCTCCACGATTTTGAATACTGCTGGTATTGTACTTGCATATGCGGTGTTAAGCGACATCCTAGATGATAATTTAAAAGTGTGCACTAAAAATTCAAAATATCTGTGGCAATCTACAAGTTATAACAAATTATTCACTATGTTAGCGGCAAAATATTGGTCAAGAAAAATTCATTCAGTAGTTTTATGGGGTAGAGACACATTTTAGGATAATTGGAGATTAGGTGAATTGTGAGTATTTTAAACTGATTAATGTCTTCAAGTTTATCAACGTCTAATTTTCTTTACTTGTTCTAAAAGCCCTAAATTTGTTGGTAAAATTAATTTAAGTTGGTGGTGTTTCTTATTCAGCGATGCTTGTAGTCTTCAAAGCAGAGGTTGCGTAGTGTTAATTTCACTGGATGCTAAGTATATATTCGGTCAACCTCTACTTAATTGTGGTACACCATATTACCATTGTTTGTGATCTTTCTTCTTCGCTTGTGGTTTCCCTCCAGGAAGTAAGCGAGTGAATGAACACATGACATGCACCTGAACTGCATCATCTAAACTGATCTGAATGCTAATACCAGGGTTGTGCCAATCCTGGTCTTTTGCTGTATGTTCCCCTATAGTATTCGCGGCATCACCTAGCTTAAACTAACATACACTCAGGACATCCGAGACAGCCGAAAGGATTATTCAGACAAGAACGACCTAATAACCAAATGAAATGTCTGAAAAACCCTCCACATCCTCCCAACATGCTTTAATTTATTCGCATTTCTCCTTTCGTCTTCTGGCACTCCGTTTGTGGTTACGCTTATGGAAAACAAGTCCGAAACCCAGTTTGAACTGAGTCGATAAGAAACATGGGAAGGAATGCTTTGATCAACTGCTCTTGAAATTCTTTTCATTTTCCATATGCCTTCATCATAAACATAGCAGAAACACACTTTCAAACTTCTAGAAGACAAGCAAGTTCGACCAAAGAATGTTCTTCTGAATAAAATCCTAGCCTTTCTCCAAAATTATACACATGATATTCTAGAATAATTATCAATAACAGTAATGACCTTTTTTCAGTAATATATATTTGTTAGGATTAATGGAAGTGCTATCCAAGAAAGATTTGCAAATTATAAGAAACATATAAATGAGATGCTAAATTGAATATAAAATAAAATTTAGAAGATTTGTGCATATATCATGGATAGTGAGGGCATCGACTCCCAAGATGATGAGAGAGTTTCAAAGGCTTTCTCCATCAATATGTAGCAGACAAACTTTTGTTGTAAAATTAGGAATGGTAGGAATACGATGTTAGTCTTTAAATCGTTCTTGACTTCTATATTTATATTTATATGTACAAGATTGGCCAGATTAGAGCCGAGAACAGAGGTGGTTTGTCCCTTGACTAACAAGAGGGGAACATGTTCAGAAACCCCGATGTTTGTGCATAATTTCAGTAGTATTTGTCAGTCCTATCTAGATATAATAAACTATTCATTTCACTCAGTACTTTCAACTAAATTACCACAACACAATTTATTATATATTATAATTGCCCATTGGGGTTCCTAGTGGAACATAGGGCTTCAACTACACGTCTCCACTTGCTTCTGTCTTCTGCTGTGCTTTTCACCTGCATCCATGTTAGTCCATACTGTTCCGACTCCTCTTCACACGATCTCCTCCATGTCACCCTTGGACGTCCCACTCGCCGCCTCCCTTTCGAGTACCACTCGAGCAATGGCCTGATGCGCGCGCGATGTCACCAAGTGGCCTCCTCAGCGAGTGTCCGATCCATCTCCACTTTCTACTGCATATTTGTTGGGCGATCGGTTCTTGTTTTGTTTGTTCCCATAGTTTCTTGTTGGTGATTCTTTCCGGCCGGCCATCTGATCTTCACTATAGAGCCAGCGAAGGCAGTTGTTGATAAAGGTTTGAGTTAGCGTGTTGGAAATATTCTTTGTGACCCGCCCGCCAAGTTTCTGATCCGTATAGAAGAACTAACTGACTTGACGTTTGTATGGAAAATCCGACCGAATTTTGTTGTTGATGCTGAGTGACGAAGATTTCCAGATTGGTATCAGGTTGATGAATGTGTACCTCGCCTTCCCGATTCTCGATTTGACATCCTCGTCCGTTCCTCAGGTATTTGAGACAATGCTCCCTAGATAAGTGAATGAAGTAACCTCTTTCAAATCCCTCCCGTTGATGGTGATTGGCGCTGGATGTTTCTGTTGCTGTTGTTGTTGTTGTTGGCTGGTTATTTTCATAACCTCCGTCTTGTCTATGTTCACTTGGAGTCCTGTCTTCTCCGGCTGCTTCTTCGACCAGTTTGTCGGTTTTCGCTTGTAAGTCTTCGATTTTGTGTGACGTCAAACATAAACCATCCACGCGCGAAATACAGGTCTTCTAGGTTCTTCACGTCGGTCCAGGATATCCCTGTCTTCTCGTTTCCCACTGTCTGACGCATAATCCAGTCAGTCCACCACAATTAGGAATATCATTGGTGATAGTTTATAAGCACCCTTGTCTGACTCCTGTGTTTATTCCAAGCGCCTCGCTGAGTTTTCCATTGTGGATGACTTGACATGTGCCGTTGTCGTACAGCTGTTGAATAAGGTTGATGAATATTTGGAGTATGCCGTAGTACTCGAGTAGTTTCCAAATTACTTCGCGGTCAACGCTGTTGAAGGCCTTCTCAAAGTCCATAAAGTTGAGGCAGAGGTTTGATTGCTATTCCATGCTTTGTTCGATGATGATGCGTAGAGTCGCAATTTGGTCAGAACATGATTTGCCTTTCCTGAATCCAGCTTGTTCTGGTCGGAATTCTGTATCCAGTGCGTCCTTAATTCTCTTCAGGATGATGCGACTCAGGATTTTACTTGGCGTCGACAGGAGCATGATTCCTCGCTAGTTCTTGCAGAGTGAGGCGTAAGTCGCCCTTCTTTGGTAGTTTCACAAGGTAACCTTTACTCCAGTCAGTAGGCACCTTTCCCTCCTTCCATACCTTTTGCAATAATGGAGTCAGCATGTCTGCTGTCGTCTCTGGGTCCGCTCTCGGTGCTTCAGGGGGTATTCCATCTGGTCCAGCTGCTTTTCTAGCTTTCAGGAGCTTGGTTATTTTCTAGGCTTCAGCTTTCGTTGGAGGGTTGGTGTCAACTGGCAGTTGTGTACGTGCTGTTGTCGGTATTTCTAGACGTGTTGCAGGTGGTGGTCGGTTCAAGAGTCCTTTGAAGTGATCTGTCCATTGTTTAATCTGTCTTTCTTCCTTGTTGATTGGGTTCCCTTGGCTGTCTTTAATAGGTTTCCCTTGTGTTGATCTCTTCCTGGATAGATACTTGGTTAGCTGATATAATGTCCTCAGTTCCCTTTTGCCTGCTGCCTTCTCAGCTTCAGTGGCCAGATTGTCGTAGAATTGTCTTTTGTCCTTCCTAGCACTCTTCCTGACTTCTTTGTCCAGTGCTGTGTAAGCTGAGCTCAGCGTCTCCTTTTCTTGTCCATCTTTTCATTGAATCATTTTCTCTTTCACCATTCTCCTCTCCTCTATCAGCTTCCAAGTGTCTGTTGAGAGCCATTCCTTGTCTTGTCTCTTCTTTCTTCCTAAAACCGTTGAGTACTTTCATTGAAAATCAGCTTCAGAGAGTTACAGTGGCCTACCAAGCATGATTCTTCAGTGATGTCACGTAGTGTTTCCTGCTTTGCTCTGACAGTCGCAGTGAAAGTTTCCTTTGTGCTTGTGTCCTTCAGTTTTTGAGTGTTGAACTTGCATTTTGGCCTATCCTCAGCTATCCTCGAGGCTTTTAGCTTCACCTTGAAAATTCCTTGTACTAGATAGTGGTCTTAACCCACATCTCCTCCTCTCCTCGATCTTGTGTCCAGTAGGCTCCGTCTCCACCTTCTTGAGATTAAAATGAAGTCTATCTGGTTTTTGGTGTGTCCATCTGGTGAAATCCATGTCGCCTCGTGTATATCCTTGTGCTTGAACACACTGTCAGCAATCACCAAATCATTGAAGGTGCAGAAGTCTGAGAAGAGTTCACCATTGTCGTTCATTTCACTGAGAGCCTCACGACCCATGTTGTGTACTCTTCCAGTATTTTCTCCTCCCATTTTTGCATTCATTTTACCTATTAGGATTCTGATATCTCCATTTGGGACGTTTTCCATTACTGTTTGTAGTCGTCTGTAGAACGCCTCCTTCTTTTCTTGTTTTGAGACGTTTGTAGGCGCATAGCATTGGATGATTGTAACCTTCTGTTATGTCCTCGTCGAGTAGTTAATAATTCTGACGCGGAACGAGGGAAAATCAGAAGACCATCTCCTTCACGATGATACTTGTATTTTCCAAACAAGGAAAAAGTGACTGTCACACAAGTGTGAGACTGAAGGGTACGTAGTGCACGAAATGTGTGAACAAGTGTCTATAAAAGTGTACAATGCAAAAGTATATATGAAAATGACCAATATACATGAAGCAATAGACAGACAGTCTTACCATGATTGGTTGTAGTGTAATGTGACAAGAAGGTCATACATTGTTTATTTAGTTAATGGACAGACAAAAGCATATTGTCAGTTATAATGGAATATCAATCCATATACACATACCAAAATATAACAGACTGTCAAAAACAAAACACACATCATGTGGATACATGTTACCTTCCTTCCTTTTGAGCTGAACCTGGCTCTCATTATTGTGGAGGAGATTGGTTCCCACTACATGAGAGCTTTAGCTGCTGCTGGTGACATCATGATGGCCACTTCCTCGGTGTGCTCGTGGTTGTCCTCTGGGTGACCGGAATAGATTATTGTCTCTCCAGTTGTTAGTTGGCACGTTCGAAATCCGTTCCATCTGCTCTCGCAGGTTCCCAACACTTCTATTCCATATCCTCCCAATTCTGAGTCTACCTGGACAGCCTTTCCAGTTTCGTACACTGTACGAATATTCCAGGTACCCATCCTTATTTTTGCTTCCTTCGAAAGAAGGCATATCGGCTCACCGGCTTCCCGAAGGGTTTCACCAGCCTGCGTCATTTCGCTTCACCGATTCCAGCGAAAAATAAGGTTATTGTTTGTATTTTGAGAATTTTTAATATATTTGTGCGTTGAAGTTTCTGTAGCGATTTGGTTAAGTTTTGGGGGTGGAGTTGCTAGCATCACGCCCCAACCCTCCCTCTTTATCCGGGCTTTGGACCGGCTTGGAAACTAGCGTGCTAGTAGTCTAGGCGAGGC